AGACATGAACACAAGACATTTAGTTTTCAGATTGCAGTCATTTGAAATACATAAAATGCATTATGTTGATAAATCACATATATGTCTCAGATTTACAAAACCAAAGAGATAATAAAAGTCTTAATTGTGAAATCGCATGCCCTCTTGTACCAGAAAATTTGGGGTTATTGTTTTTTTTGTTTTTTTTGTTTGTTTGTTTTTTTAAGGAGGCATTGGGAAACAGGTATTTTAGGGTTTTCAAAGTCATATCCATTATATGTTCACCCACTATACCTATCATTGGGGTAAACACTAGTCAGTGCCTAGGGAAAAATTTTTTTTTTTTTGTACTGGCAGTGAGATAATGAGAATATAGTAAAGAAGAAAATAGAGAGGGGCAATGGGCACTTCCCTTGTCTCCAATCTTAAAGAAATGTACTCACAAAACATCTGAAATCTATCTGCACTGTGGGCATGTAATCTATCCTGAACATTCCCCTTGCTTGTGGGAACAGTGTGGCTTTCCTTTTCTTTTTCTTTTCATTTATTAATATTCTGTGAAATCACTGTTGAGAAGAGATTCTTAGAAAAGCCATTGGGCAGGGGGAGGCAAAGAGAAGTCTGATACTGGGGATTGAATCCAGGGCTTTGTGCATGCTAGGCAAGCACTCTGCCACAAAGCCACGTCCTGGGCCCTGTGACTTTCCATTTTATCTTGCCCTCCACTCTCACCACTGCTGAAGTGCACATGGGTAATATAATGTCCAAATCCTGTCCATTTAGTCCTCCAACTTATTTCTCTGGAATTGGAAAATAGTATGCTGAGGCCATTGTGGCCCTGGGGTTTACCACCTATGTGTGAAATCTTTTCCTGCTAGGCCATTTATTGGCTAAATGTCATCCATTTCCAATATTTTGGTTTTTACTTAGAAATATATAGTAACCATACATTCAAAAATCTTAGTTACCTTTCTCCTGCCCCAGCACTAAGGAAGAAATGTTTACTTTTAAATGTTTACAAGGTTCTCTGAAAGCAATGTTTTAAATGCTATAGAGACATAGGATCTGGAAGTTAATGGAATTTGTATCAATTAAAATTTGGCTATTGTTTGCATTTAATGAAAAACAGGAATATTTGATACCTTGTTGGATTCTCAGACTCAAAAGTTCTACATCTTGCTATATTTACCATGGACATCTTAAGTCCAATTGTTCAATTGTTGGGTAGGGTAGTTAGCCATGAACAGGTGGATACGGGAAAGGACAATGAAGGACAACTGAAAACCACAGGAGCCTTAACTTACAGACAAGTATCTGGAAGATGGCACCTGGTATATCAAACCTCCCCCAACCTTAATTAAGAAAAACTACAGTTTCCCAGGTTCCAGACCAATCGATCGTGTCATCATTATCTCTTGTAGCCAAGTTTCCAGGACCCTCCCTTATTAGAACTATGTCACAATCCTTAAATCACCCCAATAGCCAAAACATAAAGACCTTACAAAAAAAAAACTTGATGGTCCTATTCAAAGTATAGAATAAACCAATTAAAAAGATGGAAAATTAGATAAAACAGGGGATTCAGTTTTCTTAAAAATTCCAAAATTGTGAGCACCATATAATCCTCTCTTTAGGTGGTCTATGTAATTCCTATGCTGTAAGCTACACTCACATCTTAGTCTATTAAATTTTGCTTACAATTCTGTGTTTCACTCAAATTCTTTTCTGTGGAGTCATGAGAATCAGCAAGGACAAGAGTGATTGCCCCCACTCTGCAGAGCAGGCCCCAGCCTTATAACACAATGACCTCCTAATGTTTTTATTTTATTATTTTCTTCTTCACAATCTAATCATTTAATTTTTTAGGAGACAGGATGTGTTTTGGAGTTCATGGTCCTTGCTTATTCTACATTTATTGTAGGTGTCTCAGTATTAGAGTATAAATCAGAAAACATTAATGGTTTGAGATAGGCTTAAAGACATAGAGCTTAATATATCTTGTGAATGGGGTTAAAAATTGAGTATGTTCCTGTTTTTAGATGGTAGGAATAGAAATTATGGAAGCTGTGAGCCCAGCATAATAGTCTCAACATAAATTAGTATTCAACTATTAAATACTTTATTAGAAACTTTTCAAAATAAGTCATCAAGTAACAACTTACTTTAACAAACATGTGTATGTAGAATCTGCTACATGCAAAGTATCATTTTTAAGTACTTTTCAAATAACTTAATAATCACGACAGTAGTAAAAGGTATATATTGTCATCACTATATACGGTGCAACTGAGATTAAGAGAGACTAAGTAATTCGCCCAACTTTACCTACCTAATAAGTACCAAGATTCATTCTCAGATAACCTAGCTGTGAAAGGAAGTGCACTTACTATATACACTATGCTATGTCTTTGGTAAACAAGTGAAAGAAGTCCTCAAGGAAATAACAGAAGAGGCTTGAGAAGAGATTTTTCTATGGCTGAACTAGGGAAACCTGATTAAGGTTCCCCATTTCACCTTTCTTTGGAAGTTTTTTATTTTGATCCCTAATGACAATTTAGGAGGCAGCATTTGCCCTGGCTCTTTGGCATAAAGTTTTTTTGTTTGTCTGGCTTTGAGCTGATTATTTTGAGAAATTGCAGGTATAGGAAAAGCTCTGAAAACAGAGTTACTCTTTCCTAAGGAAAATGTGCATTCATATGGAAAACCTCCTTTTGTAAGGGTGTCTATCTTTTGGGGAAGATAAGGATGACTAAATCATCAGATACTCTTACCCTAAGGAAAGCTGTGACCTAAACTTACATAACAGACTTGTCTTCTGATGCTTACAAGCACCTGCCCCATATTGACCCCTTCTAATACCCTGCATTCTTGTTTCAGTTAAAAACGGCATTTTAGCCTGAATCAATTCCACTTGTTTAACCTTTGCTTTTCTCTTGTTAATCTATCTTATGTTACAGAGGTCTGTCATTGCTGAAATCTATGTGTGTGTGTGTGTGTGTGTGTGTGTGTGTGTGTGTGAGTGAGAGAGAGAGAGAGAGAGAGATAGAGAGAGAGAGAAGAGAGAACAAGAAAATTGTTTTTCTCTCCCCAATAGCAAAAATGGCACACTGTTCCCTATCTAAAGCTCTGCCCAAAGATGACAGAATCATAAATTTCTTTGCTTCCTCTTAGTCTGACCAAGGCAGGGTAGCATTTTTAAACTGTAATTTATACTATCAAGCATTAAAAAAGGAAATAAAGAAATGATAAGCTGATAAATACAACTATATGATTCAACAATGAATTGATAACTTTCCGGATTCATGTACATTGTTTGATCCTATATTTATATCCTTAGCTAGTCTCTCCACACGATAGCCTTCCCAGCTACCTACTCTACTATACCTTAGAAGGATTCTATGAATGGCAACCAATTGATGCCCTCAATTTATGGCCAATAAATAAATAAATAGAGAAGATTCTCCTCTGTCACTCAGGAGACTTTGCTCAGTGTCCTACCTAGGTTTTGAGGGATGCTCATCTCACAGGAATGCAGCTGTTTGAAATAGTTCCATATAGCTAAGCTGGAGTGTGTTGTCCACAGTATAATACAATAATATGCAGTAATATAAAAAAGGGATTACACATCTTTACTAATAAAAAGTTTTTCTGTTAAAACCTATCTTCACAATTAAATGAGAACCAACAATATTCAGAATCTTTATTTTCTTTCTTATAAATTTAAAATACCTTCTCTGAACAAAAAAACTAGGTAGTTATTTCTCAGGTTTTAATTTTCTGAAGAAACAAGCCTTTCAGTATTTATACTCAGAAAGTAAAAATTATCGCTAAAGAATGCGTTGAATTTTTATTAAATATATCTGCAAAAACTTTTTTGGGGGTTGGGTACTGGGGATTGAACTCAAGGGCATGCAGCCACTGAGCCACATACCCAGCCTTATTTTGTACGTTATTCAGAGACAAGGTCTCACTGGGTTGCTTAGTGCCTTGTTATTGCTGAGGCTGGCTTTGACCTTGCAATCCTCCTGCCTTAGCCTCCTGAGATTCTGGGATCACAGGCGTGCACCACTGCACCTGGCGGCAAAAACATTTTGCAATGAAATCTATAGTAATGCAGACAAATCTATAAATGGCATCAGTCAAGTTCAAAAAATGGACCATCTCCATCATAGTCTCTAAAGAAAATGTGACATTACATGATTCTCAATCTATTTTTGCTCCTGTGGAATTACATAAAAGAAGCAACATTTTGGTATCAATTTATCACTATGAAAGCCAAGTTTCACTAAAATAACTTGTTTATGATTTTAATAAGTTTTTATAACTAAGGGGTGACATTTTCCGTTTGCCTCACCTAGAAATTCATTAACACATCCATTTCTAGTTTATAAATTAATCCTCAAATATTCCATAATACTTGAATACTAGAAGTCAACAAATAATTTTAAATTTTAGACACAAGCATTAAAATAACCTCACATTTAGATTTAATATTCTATTGTCTCTAACCAAAAAACTGAAGAGGAAGTGTGAAGTGAAATGTGGACAAATTTAAAAGTATATTCTTTTAAAGAAAAGAGATTTTCTGCATAATAATTACAGAGATTTTTAAAGTTTCCTCTGGATTCTCCCTCATACAAAAAACTTCATAATACTACATTGGTGTGCCTTAAAAAGGTCAAAGCAAAGAACAGAGGTTTTATATATAATTTCTCATGTAGTCTTAAACTACTGAAATTTCTTAAAGACAGATTTTTGGTTAGGAAAATCTGCAGGGCCTCATGCCAATTCTGGTATTTGTATATTGAGGGTCAGTATAAATTTTGAGGAGTAAACACTTTCTTTATAAGTTTTTGAAAGCAACCATGCTGAAAAGGACAGCTTTTTCCTTGACTATTATCAAAGACAAATGGCACTGATGATACAGGATTTTGTACATTCACTTATTTTTTTAAAATTTCAGATAAAGAAATCCAAAGGGTTGGAAACAGGATGTGCAAATCCAAAATGTAGAGACTTACTGGTACATGCCATAGAAGGTGGATCTTTCACAGCTCGGAAGTAACCCTTTTCACACTGACAAACAGATGTTGCTTCCATGTAGGTTAAACTATGCGGAGGGCATTTAGAACACTTTGTGTTACCAGCAAAGGCTTTATAGAATCCTGGTCTGCAAGCTGTAAAAGCAGAAGAAACAATTTCTTTTTAGTTATTATGCTAGAGTTCTTCTGTACAACATATTTTAATTTATACATTTTTAGACATCAGAGTTCAGCATCATAGATACACAGAAAGGTCAATATATATGTTACTAATATGTGTAATTAGTTATTCAATGTTAGTATCACAACCATGACATATTTTAGCTGAGGTTGCTTTGTAATTTTTAAAAGTGTACCTAAGGCATGTATTGATTCAGCCTTACATACAAACATGCACATACACACAAAACATCAGTGCTTACCTAAGTGAGAAGATGCCCATTATTGGCAGTAAAAAAGATGATTTTTGTAGAGTTTGGGGAGATGGCATTAAATAACTAAATCATATGGTTCAAGTGTACTTAGATTTTCATTCCCCCTCATTCTTTCTAAGTATGCAAGGACAAAGCCCCAGTTTGGCTTGATGTGTTTTTAACACCTCTGTTAGTAGTTAGATTTTCTTTCCTGGTGGCTGGGGCTGTGAATCAGTGGTAGAGCACTTGCCTGGCATGTGTGAGGCACTGGGTTCAACTCTCAGCACCACATAAAAATAAAATAAATGTACTGTGTCCACCTACAACTAAAAAAATACACATTAATTTTTTTTCATTTTTGTATGGTAGAACTATGTTATTTTTGATAGTTTATGTTTACTTTTATTAAAATATTTTAAATGATCTATTAATTTAAGATAACTATAAATTATTAATTTTACATAGTAAGAAGTTATTCAGTATTAGTATCAATAAGCAGTGGTGGCATATGAACACCAACATCAGTCTCTTCTCTAACTTCATGACAAGGTAGTGCTAAAAAATTAATAAGAAAAAGGACTGTGTCACCAAAATATTTCTCTAAACCTGTGGAAATTCAGAGTGTATACATAATAGGTAACCCTGCTCACATTTTTCATAATTAAAATTTCCTTAAACCCTGCAATTTCTAAGTTTGAATTTATTATAAAGGATTATTAAGAAAACATATCATAAAATTTTCAATAAAACATACTTATTTATATTTTTTCATTAAATAAATATTCTCTACTTAATTATGCAATTTACCATTCCAAATGTTTGGGTTTTTATTAATTTCTAAATAATTTCAAAAGTGGAACCTCTTGAGAAACTTAAATAATAACTTTAAGCTATTACATTATTAAAAATCTAATAAACCAATTTAAAGAGATATGTATATCTAAATGGAGAGCTTGCATTCAGAGCATTCCAATGTTATTTTTAATGTCACTTAAATATTATTTTAAAGATAGATAAGAAATATTTCCTTCTTTTGTCAGCTCTTCAAATTTTAGCCATAAACACTGTTTATTATATAAAGTAGTATGCTCTTACCTTAATTTTTATGCCAACAAAAATTTTATTTATTTGCGATAACTAATACAAGATTTTAAACATATACATCTTATATGAAAGGTTTTAAGCTAATATGCTATTTCCTCTTAGAATTTTCTTCTGTGCTTAGAGAAAAGCTTGCTTCTGCCACAGAGAGCATATTAGAAAGCTTGCTTTTACCAACTGCTCTTATCCAACTATGCAGAAGACTTCCTCTTCCCTTATATCCGTCTTCTTTTTAAACAACATAGTATCAGTGAAGCTTCCTTGCATGATCCCCTTTTTAAACTGCAACTCCTGCTACACCATACCACAATATTCCATATTACCCTTCGCTTGTTTTTCTTGCTTCCAAATGACTTAGCAATATCTGACACATGATATATTTAATTTTAGAAACCATTCCTCATGAGGATGTGAGCTCTATTAAACAGAGATTTGTGTCTGCTTTATTTACTGAAGTACTTCTCCAGGGCTTAGAAGAGTGCCAGGCATTTGAAGCCCTCTATGAGTATTGGACAATAAATGAATGAGTTGCTGAGGGGCTCCCTTAATTTCCATAAATTCACCATGCTCTTTCTGCTGCTTTGAGCCTTTTCTTCTGTTGAAAACCTCTCCTCTATCACCATCTTTTGACCTACTTGTTTTGCTAACTCCAGGTCAGGAGTTAGGTCTCACTTCTTTAACAAAGCTATACTTAACTTCCTAGAAAAAATTTAGTTTCTCATTAATCTCAGCCATTTCCATCCACATTAGTTATTCTTTGGCAAACACTTATTAGATGTCTGTAAGCTCTGGGAGTACAGGTTAGCATAGGCTTAGTGCATGTCATATAGTAGGTGCTCAATATATAATTATTTAATTGAACTGGACAGTGTATGATTACTCTGTTAACTAAATTTCTGTAGAGAATCATACATGTGGATTCAGTGCACACTGTGATCATGGTACCATTATCTTAACTATAAATTTATAATTTTTCCTTGCTGAATCATTGCATAATAAGTAAGAGATAAAAGTAGTTAGTATCTTGAAAGTGATTTAACTATGACAGAAAAAGGATAAATATTGCAAGGTGACCTAGCTATTTAAAAATCAGATTTCCATTTCAAATGATCATCTATGCATATTTGGATTTTCTTGCTACTGTGCACATATACATATATGTATTCACACAAATAATTCTGCTGACAAAATCTTAAAATACCATTGTCCTAGGCATTTATATTTTCTTTATATAGCATACATTAATAGTATATAACCTAAACCTCATCAGCTCATACCATAATAGATCATAACTGTTTTATTGCATCTGTAACTTTAAGTTCCTGTGACTGCCACAAAGCAGAAATGGGTATTACAATTCTAGTATTTACAATACATAGCAGATTGCAAGTATATATTTAGTTTTTATAAATGCTTGAAAAATTGAATGAGTGAAATGAATAAATGCTGAGTTTACTAACTCTGTGAGATCACAAGAACTTTATTTGGAATGAGCATTCTGTGTATCCATTTGGTTTGGTTTTGCTTGTATTTCTGCTAAAAATGGGATATCAGTACTTTCTGAAAATTTTTCACTGCACTTTGATATACCCTTTATTCTTTCTGTTACTCCCTTGTTTCTGTTTATAAGGTATGTAAGCTTCTGCTTCCAGAGAGCAACATAAACAAAGCACTTCTTGGTTRATTGCTTGCAACCAAGATAAGAAAAACTCCCAACATGTGTCAGTAGTGTACAGAATACTGTTGGAAAGTTAAAAGTTACCTGATGTGGCAGTTTTTTGCTTCTTTTAGAAAAAGCTATACAGATATAGATACTCAGCTCAGTCCTTCATTGCCTACAATGATTCTAGTTATTATAGCTTCTCTCCACAGTAATATGAATCTATAATTTAAATCCACATCTCTAGGACTACTACATTCATCTAAGGTCTACCTGTCTCTATTTTGTCCCTATTCAAGTCCACTCCACAGTTAACACAGGTTACATTTCTAAGTATGAAGAAGGACCATTTTGCTCTATTTTCTAAAGCAGGAATTGCAAATCATTGTTATTTGGCTAAATGCGACTCAGTACCTGATTTTGTACAGCAAATATGTATAATTTTGAGATAAATTTGATTTTTGGCTCTTGATATACATAGCCTAAAGTATATGCTATATACTCCTTTATAAAAAAATATCAATACTTGGTCTCTAGAATAGAGTCTAAACTCTAATGTTTAAATTTCTTCAAAGTTAGACTCACATCTATTTTTCTAAATTAACCTTCCACTGCTATAAAATTTTAGTCTTGYCACTTCTCATATTTACCATACTTTTTTAAAGATTTTTTTTAGTCATTGATGAGCCTCTGTTATGTTTATTTATTTATATGCAGTGCTGAGAATTGAACCCAGTGCCTCACCATGCCAAGCAAGCATTTGTCACTGAGTTACAATGTCATAATATTTAACAGCTTTATTTAGATATAATTGTTATTCAAAAACTACAAAGTGTACAATTTGGTAAATGTTGATGTATGTACACAACTGTGAGACATTACCATAATCAATAATCCAACAATTCCAGGTTTCCTTGATTCCCTTAACTTTTACCTATTTATATTTTCAGATTAAAAGTAAGTTCCATGTAGGTAGTACACTCCTGGGTCTGAGGTTTTTCTATTTTTTTTTTACTATTTTATATTTTGTTTTATATTTTATTATTATTATTTTATTTATTTGTCCTACTTAATTGTACATGACAGCAGAATGCATTTGAATTCATCATACACAAAAGGAGTGCAACATTTCAATTCTCTTGTTGTACGTGTAGAGATGCAGCATTCATGCAATCAGACGTATACCTAGGGTAATGATGTCCATAACATTCCACCATCTTTCCTACCCCCATAACCTCTCCTCTGCCCAATATAAAGTTCCTCCATTCATCCCATGCCCAACCTCCAATCACGGATCAGCATCCACTAATAAGAGAAAATATCCAGCCTTTAATTTTTTAGAATTGGCTTATTTGGCTTAGCATAATATTCTCCAACTCCATCCATTTACCTACAAATACCATTTTTAAAATTCTTTTAACACTGAGTAATATTCCATTGTGTATATATACCACTGTTTCTTTATCCATTCATCTATTGATGGGCATCTAGGTTGCTTCCACAGTTTAACTATAGTGAATTCAGCTTCTATAAACATTGGTGTGGCTATGTCACTTACTATTCTTATTTTAAATCCTTTGTGTATAGACCGAGGAGTAGGATAGCTAGGTCAAATGGTGGTTCTATTCCAAGTTTTCTGAGGAATATCCACCCTGCTTTCCAAAATAGTTGCACAAATTTGCAGTCACACCAGCAAAGTATGAGTGTAACTTTCCCCACAACCTCTCCAATACTTTTTCTTGGTAACTGCCATTCTGACTGGCATGACATGAAATCTTAGTTTTTATTTGCATTTCTCTAATTACTAAAGATGTTGAAAACTTTTTCATATATTTGTTAATCACTTGTATATCTTCTTCTGAGAAGTGTCTGTTTGGTTCCTTAGCCCATTTGATTGGGTTGTTTGGTTTTTTGTTTTATGTTTTTTTTTTTTTTTGGTATTAAGTTTTTTGAGTTCTTTG